TTTTTTTTGGAGACAAAGTTTCACTCTCATTGCCCAGGCTGGAGTGCAATGTTTCAAGCTCGGCTCACTGCAACCTCAGCCTCCTGAGTTCAAGCAATTCTCCTGCCGCAGTCTCCCGAGTAGCTGGGATTACAGGCATGCACCACCAAGCTTGGTTAATTTTGTGTTTTTAGTAGCGACAGGATTTCTCCATGCTGGTCAGGCTGGTCTCGAACTCCTGACCTCAGGTGATCTGCCTGCCTCAGCCTCCCAAAATGGATCATTATTCATAGATAACACAGAGACAGGTGTCCAATTTTTGTTAAAATAAAATGTATCATTTATACTCAAAGATTTAGAATAAATAAAACTGTTTCCTGACTTTCATTTTTCTGGAGCGTAGCTAAAAGTTCTCTGGAACCACTGAAGGGAGAAGAATGTCTTTCTTTTCTTCTGCTGGTGATGGAAGAGAAGTTCTCTCATTTCACTATTGGAGAACTTCTCTTATCAGCAAAATCCCTCTGACTGATAGATGTTTGCTGTATTCAGCTACTTTATATCACTAGGGAAGAAGTTGAATTCAAAGTGAATTGGATCATCTGAAGTCGGGAGTTCAAGACCAGCCTCACCAACATGGAGAAACCCCATCTCTACTAAAAATACAAAATTGCCAGGTGTAGTGGCACATGCCTGTAATCCCAGCTACTGGGGAGACTGAGGCAGAAGAACAGCTTGAACCCAGGAGGCGGAGGTTGTGTTGAGCCCAAATTGTACCATTGCACTCCATCCTGAGCAACAAGAGTGAAACTCCATCTTACATAAAAAAAAATACAATACAAAAAGTGAATTGAGCCACTGTAATATTGTAAAATGTATTTATTGGGTTTTTGTAGCTCTGACTTGGTACGTGCAGCAATGATTAATGGATACACAGACCCTCATATACTTAGCATGTCTTTATTAGCAATGCCTTCCAGCACCCCAGTTTGAACTACTGCATTAAGTTTTCACTCCTCAACTTGTATCTCCTTCCCCTTGGCCTCTTAAGTGGTACAAAAGCACGGATCAGTTGTTTCTCATAAAATACAGTCAAGTAACCCCGGGCAATATCCCCATTTCACAAATGATGCCAAATGATTGGAAAATACCCCATAAACAAGTCTGCCTTTTCTATTTCCGGAAACACTCCCTTTAGGAAGCCAATCTTGTTTTCCTCCTGACTGGTTGGGCTGGTTTTTCAGTCCTAGGTAAAGTTCCACAAGAAACTTTTTGTTATTCATTTGAGGCTTATTGCCCTGTCTGGAGTTTCTAAAAAATGACTTTAAAAAAGTTAAATCCGGAAAATGCTACTCAACATTAATTGAACAATAGTTCAATAGTTATCTTCAATACATTTTTTTTATCATTTGTGTTCTTTCTGTCCTTGTCCAGGTGCACAAAGATTTTTTTTTTTTTTTTAGCTGGGATTACAGGCACGCGCCACCATGCCCAGCTAATTTTTGTATTTTTATTTTTATTTTTATTTTTTTGGGGGGAAAAAGAGAAAAAGAAGGGGAAAAAAAGAAAAAGAGGTAAAAAGGAATATTACTTCATTCCTAAAATGGGTTTCAATAATGGCTGATCAATATTTTGAGTGTTTAAAGTGGTTAATGAATATTTTATGTGTTTAAAATGGAGACCTCTATTGTGTTTATTTGTTCTGGCTCTGAGTTCAAGTCCTGGATATCGTTATCAATTTGTTGTCTCATTGAATCTAAATCTCATTATGTGTCTTATGTATCTGGGTGTTAAGATCTCTTATTGTTACATTAATCCTTTTACCCTTGCATCCTTGTAGCTTTGAAATCTATTTTATTAAGTGTGAGAATTGCAACTCCTGCTTTTTATTTATTTATTTTTGCTCTCCATTTGGTTGGTGAGTTTTTTTCCATCCCCTTGTTTTGAGTCTTTGTATATCTTTAGATATATCGTTAGATTTTGTGGATAATGTATATTTTATGTGTTTAAAATTGAGAGCTCTATTGAGTTTATTTGTTCTGGATCTTAGTTCCAATCCCGGATATCGTTATCAATTTTCTGTCTCGTTGAATCTAAATCTCATTATGGGTCTTATGTATCTGGGTGTTAAGATCTCTTATTATTACATTAATCCTTTTACCCTTGTATCCTTGTAGCTTTGAAATCTATTTTGTCAAATGTGAAAATTGTAACTCCTGCTTTTTATTTATTTATTTTTGCTCTCCATTTGGTTGGTACGTTTTTTTTTTCCAACCCTTTATTTTGAGTCTATGTATAGCTTTGGATATACCGTTAGATTTTGTCTGTATCTTTTGATTGGGAGATTTGGTCAATTTAAATTTAGGGTTGCTGCCATTTGATATTAACTGGCTATTTTGTCCTTTCGTTGATAAAAATTCTTCTTTATGTTAATGCTCTTTACTTTTTGGTGTATTTTTAGAAAGGGTCATACTGGTTGTTCCTTTCTGTGTATAATGCTTCTTTTAAAAGTTCTTGTAAAGCTGGCCTGGTGGTAATAAAATCTCTGAGTACTTGCTTGTTCCTAAAAGATTTTATTTTTCCTTCAAATGTAAAGCTTAAATTGGCAGGATATGAAATTCTAGGCTGAAAGTTCTGATAATTAAGTATATTGAATATTGACCCCCACTCTCTTCTAGCTTGTAGGGTTTCCGTTGAGAGATCTGCTGTAAGCCTAATAGGCTTCCCTTTATGGGTAACTTGATCTTTCTCTCTGGCTGTCCTTAATATTTTCTCCTTCGTTTCAATCTTGGTGAATCTAATGATTATGTGCCTTGGGGTTGGTCTTCTTGAGGAATATCTTTGTGGTGTTCTCTGTATTGCCTGGAGTTGAATAGTGTCCTGCTTTGCTAAATTAGGAAAATTTTCCTGGATAATGTCCTGGAGAGTATTTTCCAGCTTGAATTCATTCTCTCTGTCACATTCAGGTACACCAATCAAGCGTATATTAGGTCTTTTCACATAGTCCCATATTGCTTGGAGACTTTGCTCATTCCTTTTTATCCTTTTTTCTCTATTCTTGTCTTGTCGTTTTGTTTCATTAAGTTGGTCTTCGACCTCTGATACCCTTTCTTCTGCTTGATCCATTCGGCTGTTTAAGCTTGTACATATTTCACTAAGTTCTTGTGTTGTATTTTTCAACTTCGTAAGTTCATTTGTATTCCTCTCTATATTGTCTATTCTTTTCAACATTTCATCTAACCTTTTTTCCAAGTTCTTAGTTTCTTTACATTGGGTTAGAACAAGTTCCCTTAACTCCCAGAAGTTTCTTATCATCCACCTTTTAAAGCCTACTTCAGATAATGGCACACAGTCCTTTTCCATCAGGGCTTGTTCCGTTACTGATGAGTTCTTTTCCATCAGGGCTTGTTCGGTTGCTGATGAGTCCTTTTCCATCAGGGCTTGTTCCGTTGCTGATGGGTTCTGATTTTGAGTATACTCGGCCTTCTTAGGCTGTTTTTTTCCCTTCATTGTAGATGAACCGCCTTTCTAATTAGGTTTCTGAGTCGACGTCCGACTTATTGATTCCCAGTGCTGGGATCCGAGCAACCCACTGTGGCAGCCTAAATAGCAGCGATAAGACTGATGGTGCTCTTCTGCCCGGGAATCTCTGGTCTGGCTTCCCTCTTGAGTCCGCAACAAGCGGCTCTGACTTCCCGGAGCTCCAAACTCCGGTCAGTAGGGGAAGCAGTCCCGTTGGCTCTGCATGAAGAGCTGCTGCGCCTAGACGCCGGCAAAACCGCTGCGGCGGCCACAAGAGTCGCGCTGGCGACCCGTGGGGTTCCTCCACTGGGAATCGGCTAATCGGTGAGTGACAAAAATTCGTCTAAAGATGTGGCGTCGTCTCGTTCTCTGAGGTTTCACTGGGAGCTACAATCCTGAGCTGTTAGTGGTCGGCCATCATGGATTGATCTACAAAGATTTTTATAATGTGATAATCAGAGTATATACATAAGTTTATAGTCAGCCTTTTTATCAGTTAGTATAATAGCACAAATATTTTTCAAGCTGCTGCAAAGCAACATAATTTTTGCTTTAAAGATTGTATAATAAGCCAGGTACAGTGGCTCACGCCTATAATCCCAGCACTTTGGGAGGCCACGGTGGGTGGATCATGAGGTCAAGAGATTGAGACCATCCTGGGCAACATAATGAAACCCCATCTCTACTAAAAACACAGAAATTAGCTGGGTGTGGTGGCATATGCTTGTAGTCCCGACTACTCTGGAAGCTGAGGCAGGAGAATTGCTTGAACCCGGGAGGCATAAGTTGCGGTGAGCCAAGATCATGCCACTGTACTCCAGCTTGGTAACAGAACGAGACTCCGTCTCCAAAAAAAAAAAAAAAAAAAAAAGACTGCAGAATTTTTCCCCAAGTGAGTGTATAGTAATTTACTAAACCTTTTCCACTTGCATTTGAAAATTAAGCCAGTTATAATCTTTATATTATAAATAACACCCCTATGAAAATCTGCATATATAACATTACTGTGAAATCCTTCATGCAAAGAGAGAAAATATTTTCCTTTGAATTGTTCTGTAGGGTACTCATTATTTAGAGAAAATGCCTAAAAGTGGGAAGAACAGATTTGAATATTTATGAGCTGTAATGCTGGCTGGCGTTTCTAGAGCACTTACAATGCAACAAAATTAGCGTTAAGCCTACTTCTATTTTGCTATGAATGCTTGTCCCTACTGTACAACTAACCCAGAGTAACCTTGGGTACTTCCCCAATATTGGCTGGTAACAGATGAGCCTTTCATACCTTTTCAGTAGAGATTGAAAAAGAAAATGAGTAACAGCTGCCTAATGCCTTTGGAAACTTCCCTGTGGTCCCCTATTTAGGGACCACCTGTTAGCAAATATGACTCATGTCTCATCAAAAGGGAAGAGAAGAGGACTAGGAGTTGCTGAACCTATTATCTGTGAGCACCTTTATCATCTCATTTAATCCTTACAAAAATGTGATTATTCCCATCTTCTAGATGAAGAAGCTGAGGCTCAAAGATTTGAGACAACTTGGAGGCCAGGTATGAACATGCTTGTTCCACTGTACCATGATTCTTATCTCTATTGTAACCTACATCTCTTTTCTTTCTTTCCCTGCCCCACCCCTCAACCATACACACCTACCTGCCCCCGTAGATTTAATATGCCTCTTTCTGGGCTACGACTCCGGCTGTATACACAATTACTGCTATTGCCCTTGATTTCCTACGTAGTGATTTATCAAGCTAGTTGTTCTAGTACTTTACCTATAAATTACACATGACATTCTTACAAAGTTCCAGGGTTTTTAATAAAACTTGACTTTTTAAACCTCAGTTTAATTGAGAAAAAGAAATATAAGAAATTTTTGAAAGGCAACAACAAGAAGAGATTTGCTTTAAGACATTAAACATAGCTCTTTAAGAAATATCTAGCAGTTAGTACCAGAAGTAAAGTGGACAGTTTTTATCAGTGGATCAGAATTGTGTGTATGTGTATGCATACACATATTTACACTACATGCACACATATATATTTATGTATATATGCATAGATTTAACCTCTGAAAACAGTGGCTCTTCAAATCCACAAAAAGATATGTAATGGGTTTGTTGAGAAAATTGACTATCTCTTTGGAAATAAATAAGTTGAGATATTTTATAATATACCTTAAAACAAATTCCATATGGATTAAAGAGCTAAGGAAACCTATAAAATACTTGGAGAAAACAGAGAAGAATAATCTTATCATCTCAGAGCAGGACAAGCCTTCCCAAGCTTGTAGCCAAGGCCATGCTAAAAATAAAAATGGACGCATTTGGTCACTTAAACACTTTAAAACTCCACATTAAAAAATCATCAAAATAAATTTAAAGCCAAACCATAGATTGAAAAAATACTTGAAAATATATGTGAGGCAGGATGCAGTGGCTCACACCTGTAATTCCAGCACTTCGTAGGTCTGAGGTGGGTGGATCACCTGAGGTCGGGAGTTCGAGCCTGACCAACATGGTGAAACCCCATCTCTACTAAAAATACAAAAAAAAAATTAGCCTAGAGTGGTGTTGTGTGCCTATAATCACAGCTATTCAGGAGGCTGAGGCAGGAGAATCCCTTGAACCTGGGAGACAGAGGTTGCAGTGAGCCAAGATCACACCATTGCACTCCAGCTTGGGCAACAAGAGCGAAACTTGGTCTCAAAAAAAAAATAATAATAAAGAAAGAAAGAAAGAAAATATATGTGAGACAAAATTATTAAAAGGACTTATATGAACAAAAGATTAAAAACAACCTAATAGAAAGACAGTTCAAGGGGGAAAGTAATCAGTAAGCACATGAAATATACTCAACTCACACACATTCAAAGAAAATGCAAAGTGAAAGATCTAGGTACTATTTTTTTAAAACTTCAAATCAGCAAAATTTTAAAATGTTGATAATATTGAGCATTGAATAGGCATGAAGACATAGATACACCTATCGTGTTGGTGAGCAATCCATACTGTAAAGTCTTAACAGATACAATTTTATCATAGTTTATAATGCCTAACCGAAAAAAGATGGAACCAGCATACACATCACCTGTAAGGGAATGATTAATTAAAGTATAATATATTCACAGTATAGAACACAATAAAACACAATGCAAAGCAAAAAGAAATGATGAAATCCTATATGAACAGATGTGAAAAGATCTCCAAAATGTATAATTAATTTTTTAAAGTTCAGGTTATAAAACAATCCAGCAACATATTTTCATTTATGTTTTTAAAAAAGTATTTATATGTAAGTACACAGAAAAAAAGTTTCAAAGATGTAAGTCAAACTGTTCATTATAGTATCCATGGGTACAGAGAGCAAGACCTTATCTTTCTTTAGCATTTGCATCTTTTAAAATAAAACTATATTAGTATCTACATAATTTTTAAGTATGCCTAAAACATAAGAAGAAATTGACATCCTACTAGTGGTGGGAGAAAAACATACCTGTAAGTCTTTAATGAAGTAGGCAAAGATTTCAGTGAAGATTTAGAGGACATGAACACTAAATAAAATTGGATTACATATTTTAATCCACTGACCTGACATAGAATATAATTTTAGACTTAGCACCCTCTCCCTGCACACACATATATACACAAGCACACACATATACACACATAGCAAACTGACACAAGAACAGAAAACCAAACACCACATGTTATCACTCATAGGTGGGTATTGAACAATTAGAACATGTGGACACAGGGAGGGGAGCATCACACACTGTGGTCAGTAGTGGGGGGCTCGGGGAGGGACAGCGGGGGTGGGGAGGGTGGGGAGGTATAATGAGGGGAGAAATATCAGATATAGGTGATAGGGGGTGACGGCAGCAAACCACCTTGCCATGTATGTACCTATGCAACAATCCTGCATGATCTGCACATGTACCCCAGAACCTAAATTACAATTAAAAAAAAAGAAGAAATGTCAACAAATTCAAAACATTGGGTTTTATTCTTGACCATAAGACAGTGAACAAAGAAATTTCTTTTAAAAGTTAAAAAACTTTAAGCCCAACAAGTTGAGATTCAAAACACACCACAAACACACCAAACGTGCTAAAACACACACATGGAGATGAAGCCTGGAAGGACCCATTCCCAAAATGATTAGTTCTTGGTAGTGAGGTTGGGAGTAATTTTTAGTGTTCCTTATGCTCTTTCTTATATTCTTTATTATGATTATCCAGTACCTCCTAGATCCTCTGAATAATAAGGAGTAACTTCCATAGCAAATCAATTGGCAGTGAGAGCTATTTGTTTTTTGTTTGTTTGTTTGTTTTTAAGACATGGAGGCATGGGGAAGTGGGTTAACAATGCAATATTTTTGTAGCAGCTAAATCAGGGGTTGGCTGAGTCCCTGGGAGGTTTTAGTTGTTCTCAGATTCTCATTAATCCTGGATCATGCACACACTCCTAACACTCAAATGACAACCACTAAAACTTGCTTCTCAACTAAGAGCTGATAACTCACAACTCTGCTATTAATTTTTATTGGAAAATCTCAATGTGTATATGTGGTATAGGCTATGCCATCTGGCTGACTTGGCTTCAAATCCTGGCCTCCATTCTTATTGGTCATATGTTATGAACTTGAGTGCATGCTTTTAAGCTCTCAGCCCTCTGCTTTTCTATGTGTATGTGTGGAACCCAGAATGTCTCTTTCACTGGAAATTTTGAAAGCTTTAGTGGAAAAGTATATAAAAGGTTCTTGACATAGTGCAGGGACGTGCTGATATACTTAATAAATGGTATTTTATTCACACATGAATATTAATTATGTTTTAATTCTCACTATGCACCCATAAAAAAGAACAAGATCATGTCCTTTGTAGGGACATGGATGGAGCTGAAGGACATTATCTTTGGCAAACTAAGGCAAAGAACAGAAAACCAGATATCACATGTTCTCACTTATAAATGGGAGTTAAATGATGAGAAGACATAGACACATAGAAGGGAACAACACATACTGGGGCCTGTCGGAGGGTGAAGGGTGGGAGGAGGGAGACAGTCAGGAAAAATAACTAATGGGGACTAGGCTTAATACCTGGGTGATGAAATAATGGGTACAACAAACCCCCATGACTCACATCGTGTAACAAACCTGCACTTCCTGCGCATCTACCCCAAACTTAAAATGAAAGTTAAAAAAATGACATGTGAATTCTCATATCAATGTTTATATCAATATGCTACGATATGTTAATTTACAATGTTTTAAAACTATTTATGTAATTGTAAGATGTCATATTGATTCTAAATTAACAATGACCAGCCTCTCACGATTTTCTCTTAAGATTTGCTGTCCAGTAGTAATCATTTCTTTTTACCCCAGATTGTGCTTGAGAGTTACAAAGATAATTATTGTCATTATATAATTGATATTGTATTTTACAAAGTGTTTTATATACCTATCATCACTTACTCTCTTCCTTTCCCAAAAAAAAAAAAAAAAAAAAAAAAAACCTAGTTGAAAAGGTGTAATAATTACACTTATTCTCCAGAGAGGTGTGGTTTTTATTCTGGATCTGATCTTTTGATGCCTCTGAAGACAAGGCCAAGCCTTGCCTGGGTCACAGCAAGATACCATAATGCTATGGGGACTAGCAAAGGCCCATGGCTGAGCCCAGATCCTTTTCTCTTATAATTGAGAATACTGTTGTCTAAATATAAAACCAAACAAAAAAGAGAGAGAGAAAGAAAGCGCTCTCTCTAGAGAACGAAGTTTTGAGGATAGAGAGCAGGGAGCAGTCTGCCAAATTACAGCACCTTATATTTCTTTAATGCATTCAACTCTCTCTCTCCCACCAAAAAAGATCATAGCCATTACTATTTTTATTTTTCTACCAATTCTGTAAGATTGCAAATTTGATTATACAGATGAGGTTACTGAGTTTCCAGAGACATTAGGAAATTGGTCCCAAAGTTGTCCAGTAGATTCAGACCTAGAGGTCTCTTCTCAGGGCTTGCAAAACAAAATTGACCACATGGTCCTCCAAAGAAATGAGCAATCCAGAGGAAACACAGTCTTTCAGATAGGCAGATGCCTGCCATTTAACCCATTTCTTCTCTCAACATAATAGTCTGTCTGCGGCCGGGCATGGTGGCTCACGCCTGTAATCCCAGCACTTTGGGAGGTCCAGGTGGGTGGATCACGAGGTCAAGAGATCAAGACCATCCTGGTCAACATGGTGAAACCCCGTCTCTACTAAAAAAATACAAAAAAAAATTAGCTGGGCATGGTGGTGCATGCCTGTAATCCCAGCTGCTCAGGAGGCTGAGGCAGGAGAATTCCCTGAACCCGGGAGGCAGAGGTTGCAGTGAGCCGAGATAGCGCCACTGCACTCCAGCCTGGCAACAGAGCAAGACTGCGTCTTAAAAAAAAAAAAAAAAAAAAATAGTCCGTCTGCTTAAACCCCCCTTTTTTTTTTTAATCTTATGTGGTAGCCATCTGCAATGGCTTCAACATTGAAAGAACTAGATTAGAAGGAGAAATG